CTTTAATGCATCTTTACTGTAATGTTTTCCAAACTAGCAATAATTCTAATCATTATTTTTAAATAGTGAAAAAAAAAGTCAGTTTGTATGAAGATCTTGCATAATGTATATTTAAATTTTATGTCATAATGAATTTTCTACATACAAAATTGTTTGGCACCCCCAATAATTAGTTGATGTACTAAAACTGCAGAGTGCAAAATGCAGTGTAGCTTTGTATGGTAGCCAATCAGCTTCTAACTTCAGCTTGTTCAATTAAGCTTTGACAATAGAACATGGAAGCTGTTTTGCACTCTCCAGTTTTAGCAAAGCAACCCCTATGACAGTTAACATGTATCGGTGTGAAACGACTTGTTTGCAATTAATGCCTGCAGTAAGTGACAGATTGTTGCTTTATATGTATATTGATGATCTTTCCTAATATTTACTAGTCTGTACACATTGCTTGTGTACCACGTCTGTAGAAGCTCTGAACTTAATGGTTATGTCTGATACATAAGCCATTTCTCAAGGACATGGTTGTGAACACCCACTACATTCCTGGAGGAACAGGCTCCCCATATACACTGAGATAACATCAATATTCTGCAGTCTTCTCTATGTGGAATGATGGTGCTAGTAGGTTCTTGTTACCAGCACTTTCTATACAATCCTATATAACCTCCTTCACGTCACTAATGAAACATCTATTCACAGGGTCCAGATCTCTTTGAAATGTATATAAACTGTTTGGTTGCCTAGTTTCAAAACACAAAATTCTCCTAGTATACTGTACATCAGTGTTTTTTTGTGCTAAGTGTCTTTGTGTTAAATGGCAGCAGATGTTTGTTAAAGAACATTGTCAATGTTAGAGATGCTGTCACCAGCTTAAAAACTGCAGGTAAAAGCACAAAAAACTAAATTATTTTTTAAATGCTTTCTTGTAGTGATTTTTCTTTTTTTAATATTTTTTTTTGCTCACTTGTTAGACTAAAGCTGGCTATAGATGGATCAAAATGTAGTCGCTTCAGCAGGGATTGCCTGAATTTCAATCCATTTATAGCTGTTCCCGATCAACAGAAGTCTGTCTAATGATCGGCTTCTCATATGGGACTGTTGGAAAACTCGATTAGCGCCTGCAGCAGCGCTGATCAGTGCATTCTGACAGCGTAGGAGTCCCCACTCTCAGAATACAATAGCACAGCAGGGAGGATTCCTTCTTCCACCTGGATTGTTTGGATAGGGTAATCCACTTTTTTTTTTTATCAGCCTCCTGGCTGATCAAAAAAATACTATCCATGTACCACCACAGGTAATGGAATTGACACAGGGGGGACTTACTATGAATGAGCCCTTAATGTACCTCCGAACTAAGAAATTAGGCTAGTCAGATCTCCAGCACAGCCTCTTTTCTGTCATGCCATAGTCCTCTCCTTCTGGAAAGTCTAAGTAGTGTCTGTGTGGGCCCAGCTCCTCTGCTTCTCCCCTCACCTTGCTATATAACCTTTTCTGTAACCGCTTTTTGGGGGGGGGTGGAAGAGGGATACTTACCCGCCCTGAGTCTGCTGGGACGTCTGACTTTACATCCAAGGTTGCTGCACCCAGCAGACTTCTTGGGACTTTTGGATGTCTACACAAGGAGGGCTTTTCCAGGTAAATAACATACCTAAAATACTTTTAGATACAACATATGGGAAGATTGTTGAAATTGGTGACAGGGTCTCTTTAAAGTTACCTATTCATTTTGATTTGGGCCTGATAAGTTATGTTTATAGATAATAAATAAATACTGTGTGTATATATATATATATATATGTGTGTGTGTATATATATATATGTATATGTGTGTAAAGTTTTTATTTTATCATTATGGTAGCTATTCGTTGTGTATTGTGCATTGTATTGATGTGTGTTTGAAGCCTTAGGCTTTCCATAGAAGAGTCATTTTTTTTTTTTTTTTTGATCAGTCTGTTGGTGGGTGTAGAATGGTGCGGCGGCAGTAACTACACATCCAGATACAGAAAACGGAAGGCAAAGTTTAGTGATACAACAGTTCAGCGGGAAGGCACCCAACTGGGAACATGAACAAGTTTCAACAGCAATGTGGAATAGACCAGGTCTCAGATGTGTCGACAGCATCTGTCCCAGAGGGCAGAATGTGGCCTGGCTGGTCTGTGCCCAAATGGGAGGATTCCAGGAAGGATGGTGTGTTTCCATCTGATCCATCCCTGTCAAAACGGAACCTGACCCTTTCCCTGCTGCTATTCATAACTGCAAACTGATTCCCCCCCCCTGCAATAGAGGAAGTGGAAGATCCTCCCCAAACTGATTCTAGTGCTTTTTTTGTATTCTGACAGTAGGGACTCCCCTGCTGTCCAAATACACTGAGCAGTGCTGCAGCTGCCGATTTAATTAAACTTTCAACTTTCCTGTTCAACAGAGATGGATTAAAATCAGGTGGTCCCTTCTGAACTAGCAGAACGTCGATCCATCTATGGGCAGCTTTTATATAAGGCACTTTGGAACCTGCCATGGTCTCCTGGTTATTACTTTTGCTTTATATGATGAAGTATACCAGCCACTTTATTAGGTACACCTGTTCAATTGCTTGGTAACACAAACTGCTAATCAGCCAATCACATGGCAGCAACTCAATGCATTTAGGCATCTAGACATGGTGAAGACGTCTTGCTGAAGTTCAAATTGAGCATCAGAATGGGGAATAAAAGGGATTTAGGTGTCTGTGAATGTGGCATGTTTGTTGGTGCCAGACGGGCTGGTCTGAGTATTTCAAAAACTACTGATCTAGATTTTCACACACAAGCGTCTCTAGTGTTTACAGAGAATGGTCCGAAAAAGAGAAAATATCCAGTTAACGGCAGTTGTGTGGACGAACATGCCTTGTTGATGTCAAAGGAGAATAAGCAGACTGGTTTGAGATGATAGAATGGCAACAGTAGCTCAAAATAACCACTCGTTACAAACAAGGTATGCAGAATACCATCTCTAAATGCATAACACATCGAACCTTGATGTAGATGGGCTATAGCAGCAGAAAACCACACCAGGTGCCACTTCTGTCAGCTAAGAACTGGAAACGGAGGCTACAATTCGCACAGGCTCATCAGAATTGTACAACAGAACATTGGAAGAACGTTGCCTGGTCTGATGAGTCTCGATTTTAGTTGCAACATTCAGATGGTAGGGTCAGAATTTGGTGTAGACAACATGAAAGCATGGATCCATCCTGCCTTCTATCAATGGTTCACGGATGTGCAGCTGACAAATCTGCAATTGCGTGATCATGTCAATATGAACCAAAATCTCTGAGGTATGTTTCCAACATCTTGTTGAATCTGTGCCCCAAAGAATTAAGGCATTTCTGAAGGGAAAAGGGGGCCCAACCCAGTACTAGCCTGGTGTACCTAAATAAAGTGTGTTTAAAACCCTTTGTTTGACACATGAACTTCACTTTGAAATCAAGGTAACCTTAGAGATGATCTTGTATTCAAAGATTAAATGTTTTAGATAATTGTAGATTAATATCCCTGCAGCAAAATGTAGATCCTGAACAACCAGAATAGAAAATGTAGATGGTTATATCCCGATCTACTGTAGGTGTTTAGGTTAAAATAGAACTTTAACCAGGCAAAACAAAAAAGGCAAATAGGCAGGATTTTTATTGCAGAAGAGACATAATGGGAATTATTTATCAAAGCTGGAGAGTGCAAAATCAGGGTCCCTTCTGCACAGAAGCCAGTCAGCTTCCAGGTTTTATTGCCAAAGCTTAATTGAACAAGCTGATATTAGAAGCTGATTGGTTTCTATGCAGAAGTGAGCCTGATTTTGGGCATTCCAGTTGCAGTAAATATACCCCAATACGTCTCTTGTACAATAAAACTCTTACCTACCTGTGTGCCCTGTACACTGAGCTGCGTTCATGCAGCTTTGTGTACAAATGTCTGCAATGCTGACATGAATGAACTCCCGATAATGCAGAAGAGTGACATCATCTTGGCTGGCACAAAGAAAACTTTTTGGTTTTTTAAAACTTTGTTGTTTATTGCTGTCTGTGTCTGGAGAGATTCATTCTAATTATTGGTTGTGGAAACCATTGTAGCTGGTACAGAAAGTGATAGGAAATCCAAAATGTTTAAATTGTCATAGGAAATCCTCCAATAGGGGAATCTGTTCTGGCAACTGTCTAAGGGGGGATATCCTCTCACTTTGGAAAGATCTCCTACTATTTCCTGTTGTATCTCTGGGACAAGAATTGAAGGGACCTAAAGGGACACAAATAGCAAAAAAAGACCTGACCAGGGGCGTAAATGAAAATAAAAATGGCTTTATATTAACATATCGTGTAGCTTATTTGGTTGTACACTGCATGAATTAGATGTCCAGCTGTAATGATGGTCTGGGTGCATGACCCAATTGCTTTTGATGTTTGACTATATCCTCAACAGAAGAATCATGGTTTTTGGATAATAATGGCAAGTCTTGTAGCATTTTTGTAAATAAAGCAAAAACTGATCAAAAACTGATGTTTACAATAGCCTTCAAAAGTTACTCACACTCAGAATTGCCTTGCATTCACTCACTATGGCTTTCATACTCAAATACTTCAACATGGTCATAGTGAACTACTAAAGTACCTGAAGGACATTTACCACCCTCTTTGCACCTCTTTCTTTGCCTTTTACTGATAACCAGTTTTACAAGTGTGTTTTAAAATATCTGTGAGCTACATTTCTGAAATTCTAGCTAAATTTGTGTAACAACATTGCTACTAGAAGTTCTTTGTTCTTGCAATTTAACATTGATGTCATGGTAATCTTTGCCTCTCTAAGTGTAGTATTAGTGTAATCCCTCAACTCTAAAGTGTAGGCCAAGGTAAATCTTGTAAACCTCTGGCTAGCCATCCAGTGTGAAAATGTTGTGTTTTACTTCTAAGCCTTTAAGAGCTAGCTATTATTCAAGTTGACATAATCTGTACCCTTGCGCCTTAAATGTGATTGCTAATCTCCAGCAAGATGGCAGGTTAACGTTATGTTTGGTTCATTTCTTTGGCAGAGCGTGGTGCCAGAGGCACACAACGATGTTGATGCTGCAAAGGCAACCAGCAATCAGGTTTTTGAAAATGGACACCAACCCATTTCTGGTATGTATACTAAGAAGTAAAGTTACACCTGTTTTTCACCTAAGAACTATAGAATTACATTTCTAATCACCACTTATTTCCAATGGAAGTAGCCATCATATGTTTAAAGCTGAACTCCAGGGAAAAAACTTCATTTAAACACCTTTCGCAGTAGCCACAAAGAGTATAAAGACACATTTTGTGCACTAAACTTTTTTGCAAACCCAGATATTACCTGGGAAAGGTGGCAGTGACCTCATCACTGTGCTGTACATAGATTGCGCAGAGAGCAAAACTGAGGGAGGTGCCCAGTCTGCTGTACCTAGTACAGGCTATTTGCAGGAAAATTACAGGAAAGGGGCGGAGACAAGACCAACCACTCTGCACAAGGGGAGAAAGCAGCAGTGATTGGTATTTATTACAGGAAGTTCCTGCACAGAGGCAAAGTTTCACACTGGATTACTGCACACCAAGATTCAAGTAAGAATAAACATGCCTGTTTTATTTAGACAATATTTGCTTATCCTGGAGTTCAAGCCAGTAGTAAGGCTTCCTGTTTCAACCAGCTCAAGGAACAAATAGGAATCCATATATAATTTTCATGGAAAGGATCCATTTTAAAGAATAACTCCCAGACATAGCATGTTTTTTGATGTTTGGTTAAGGTTTTGGTTAAAGTAGAAAAGTGATATAACCTTTGTCAAGTGTTTGTTACTGCCAGTGTCCCTATTGGGGAGACCACAAATGTAGCCAACAAGGGCAGAGACATTAATAAAAACTTGACAGAGGTTCTCACGCTTCCTCCCTGTGCTTACAAAAAAATGCTTTATAACTGTCTCTTCTTCTAAGGAGATATTTGCTCACTTTTTCTCAGACCAAAGAGGCCAAATTAGAGAAGTTTGTTTTTAGGGTTTACAGACCCTTTAAGTACCCAACAGAAGAAACTTCTGTAAAAATTATCTTTGTAAAGCAACAATTGGAAGCAAGTACATTTTTTTTCCTAGTGTGATATAACCGTCTAATGCCCTTGTGAAAACCTTTGTTTTAAATAGTGGGTTAACTACTTTTTACAGCAAAATTCTAAGTCTAAAAACAAACATTAGCGCCTGCAGGGGTGTGTCTATACTGAAATAGAAAGTATTTTGTTTTAAAAACGACAATATAGAATTGTACACGATACTGTTTTTTTTTTTTTATCTGTACTAGTACTTCATATTTTAGGACAAGCTTTCTGAAGATCTGCTACCTTCTTCCAGTCCAAGTAGTACTCTTTAAATCAAAATAAAGTAGTAGATCTCCCATAAACTTGTCCTGCAAAGTAACGTTTCAGTGCAAATGTATAATATTAAAAATGTATAACATTCAAATCCAAAAGTACGAATATGGCTGCCGTTGCCTTATGCACAGTTTAAAAGGAAAACTGTAGTCCGAGAAACATGAAGGACACCATTGCTGACCTCATGCTATGAAAAATGTTAGTTGCCTGCTGACATATTGATTCTCTGAATTATTTTACTGAGCCTTAATTATAAATCATCATATTTGGCAATCATCAACTCTATACTGGGCTAGGGTGTGTGTCCCTATGCACCAGTTAGCCATTTAATAAATATAAAATGTAACCTTTTTATAAAAAATATAAGGCAGTAGACCCATCCCTTGCATTCAAATGGTTGCCAGCACCAAGCCAAGTTAGATTACATACCATTTTTGGATGAAGTTGTGGCTAAAACAATTGTGGTTTGATCATATGCCTATCAGGTAGGATGCATACACTCTCCAATGAAGAAATGAAGTTTCCCCAGGCAAGAACTCAATAGGTAATATGTATTTGCTACCTACAGTTTGTGTCTCTTCATGTATCTTGCTACATATATGTGATATGGGTACACTCATCCACGGGCCTTAATACAAGCCTCTATTGGACAACCCTTCATACATCACCATATCCAGTCAAAAAATACCTCACTACCTTGAGGAATGCAAATAATGCACTAACGTGCAGTGCAGACCACTCCAAAAAAGGGGAGCAGGTACCATGTGCATTCAAAAAGTGCTCCCAAATGACACCCTCCCCCCCAAAAAAAAGAACGTTGTTTTACCCCTATATATAGAAGTATTTGCCATCAAAATGGCCGCCACGTGCGTGACGGCATCGCGTATGTGCATCGTCACGACACTTCTAAACTTCCGCACATGCTCAGTTCATCATAGGTCGCCATCTTGAGAACGAAAAACAACACTACAACAGTCTAGGAGGCAATATATTATGCTGTTCCATTCCACAAATGTCCAATGGACACTGCATTAATACCTCACTAGTAGAGAGCCTTGTTTACTGTTCATCCCATTATATAGCATTTTATGGGGTCAATTCAAACAAAAAAACAGAGTCCCTAATCACACACAAAGGGGAGGAAGGTTAAGCCTTCATTTAACCCATAGGGTGCCCTCGAGTTTAATTAGAAAATCCATTTTGCTTCAAGCTTTAAGAAATATTTATCTAGATCTCCTTTTTTAGGACCTAGATTATATTTACCAATAATCCAAAAACTTTGGAGGTCTGCCTTACCATCATGTTTTGGTATCCTATGTCTAGCCACTGGTCTATTTTTGTTTTGAATAATATCATGCACATGTTCAAGAACTCGTCTCCTGAAAGGACAAAATTTTTCCTACATATATTAAAGGGCATGGAAATTTTAAGGCATAGACCACCCTCTCTGTACTACAATTATAAAAGTCTCTTATTTTGATGATTTTTGCCATTTTTGGGATTGACGTTTTTTGATATTACACAAAAATGTATGTACTTTACAATGACCACACTTAAAACTACCTTTTGGTTTTTTGGTAGCCAAGTGTGTTTTATTGATATCTTGGGGATTTTCTCCAGATGGCTGTGTATTAGCACATCTCTCATTTTTCTACCCCGTCTATAGGTTGTCTTTGGGTCTTTTTACAAGATCTGTGATAGATATTTATCTTCATGCAAAATGTTTCAATATCTCTTTATGATGTTAAAAATCTGCCCAGATTGATTTTAGTATGTCTCTATGATTCACATACCTTGCTGGTCATCCATTTTTTTTTTTGTCTTCTGACCCAACAGGGATTCCCTCAAAACCCCTTTACTTTCTCATAGGATTTTATCAAATCAGTCTTATGATAGCCCCGTCTCATGAATCTGTCAATCAATTTCTGACTCTCAATTTGGAATGCCCCTTCCGTTGAGCAATTTCTTTTTGCTCTCATAAATTGACCAATGGGGATTCCTCTTTTCAAGGCTGCTGGATGTAGACTTCCCAAATGTAATAAACTATCCGTAGAGGTCTGTTTCCCAAAAATTGTTGTGTGAATATTACCACCTTTACACCTCTGAATCTCCAGATCCAAGAAATGTATGCTATCATACTTGATTTCACTCGTAAAGTACATCCCAAAATTGTTTCAATTTAGGGCAGTTACGAATTCCATGAACTAATCTTTTTGACCCTGCTATAATATAAACACATCAATAAACATTACCCACATAAAAATGTGAGATGTAAAGCATTCCAGTTCCTCTGCAAAGACCATAGTGTATTCCCACCACCCAAGAAACAGATTCAATAGGTGCGCAGGAAGAACCCATCGCAGTTCCTCTGCATTGTCTATATATGTTTCCATCAAATAGAAGTTATGCTCTAGCATGAAGTGCAAAAGTTGAATAAATGTAGTATGTTTCTCAGATTACCTCTAGTTTCCAAAAATGATCTACAAGCTTTCAGACCCATAACAAATCCTAACAAAGGTTACATTTGCGCGCACCCTTGTCCAGTATAGAGTCGTTGATTGCCATTTCTTGCCACCATATGATATTGAGCACAACTTCTTACCACTTCCTGATCTGATCTTGATTCTCCATACTCCTGAACTAAGCTCTGTAGTTGGAGCAAAACATGTAGAGTTCTTTTCTTTTTTTTGGGGGGGGGGGGGTCATTTGGGAGCACTTTTTGAATGCACATGGTACCTACTCCCTTTTTTTTGGAGTGATCTGCATTGCTTTGCATTCCTTAACCTCCTTGGCTGTATGATTCTTTCCTATTTTTTGTGCTGAAAGCGGTACCATTTTTTTGCATGGAAATATGTAGTTTTTTATTGTAGGCTGTAATTTTTAGGAATAACTCACTGAAATCTGTCCAAACAAGAGTCTATTAAACATTCCGGATATGATAAAATTTGAAACACGAAATCATAAATTATAATTTAATAAATAATCATAAAAAATAATAATATAATAATAATAAATTTAATTCAATAATATAATCAAACCAAAAACACTGAAATTTGAAATACAGAGGCAAATTCGCACATCGCTGAGTAAAGTCACAAAATCGTTTTCAGTGTCTGATGACGAATTTCCCCATGAATCATCACTCAATTCTGCAAGTAGTTCTGATTTACTATCGCTGCTCTAAAACCGCTTTTGACGTAAAGGGACGCTTTTTGGACACCATGGACTTTTCTAAGTTTCTAGGCAGAAAGAACATTCAAAATGCAGGCAGGGCACAGGACAAAGCAGTAGGGACCAAATATATGTGAAATGCATTGAAACAGCAATGACAGCAAAAAATGAAATTTTTTTAAAAAATTCAAATTTCCGGCGCCCGTACGTCCCGACGTCACAGGGACCGGGACACAGAAGCTGGATGCCGGCATCGGCCGGAGGAGATGGTCGGGGACGTTGCAGGGGATACATCGCGGGACCGAAGGACAAGGTAAGTGCTGCAGGGACCCCCAGAGCAGCGCCGCATGGTAAGCCCGAGTGTAGCTCGGGGTTACCGCTCTTGGTATAGAAATTTTACCCCGAGCTACACTCAGGATTACCGCTAAGGAAGTTAAGATAGTGAGGTATTTTTTGACTGGATATGATGATGTATGGGGCTTGTCCATTAGAGGCTTGTATTGAGGCCCGTGGATGAGTGTACCCATATTACAGATCTGTAGCAAGATAGATCATATTACCTATTGAGTTCTTT